GTGGCTCAGTCGGTTAAGCATTTGACTTTGGCCCAGGTCATGATCTCGGGGTTCATGAGTTCAAGCCCCGCATCGGGCTCTGTGCTGACAGCTTCAGAGCCTGGCACCTGCTTTGGATTCCGTGTCTCCCTCTCTCTCTGCCCCTTCCCTGCTTGCACTCTGTCTCTCTCTCTTAAAAATAAACATTAAGGGGCGCCTGGGTGGCTCAGTCAGTGAAGCGTCCGACTTCAGCTCAGGTCACCATCTCGCGGTCCGTGAGTTCGAGCCCCGCGTCGGGCTCTGGGCTGATGGCTCAGAGCCTGGAGCCTGCTTCCGATTCTGTGTCTCCCTCTCTCTCTGCCCCTCCCCCGTTCATGCTCTGTCTCTCTCTGTCTCAAAAATAAATAAACATTAAAAAAAATTTAAAAATAAACATTAAAAAAAATTAAAAAGCAAAGGAATCAATATTTTTGTTCGCCTCAGTATGTCCATAACGTTTAGCACAATACCTTGAACAAAGCAAATAATAAATCATGGGCAATATCTATTAATCCTTCGGAGGTTGTTATATTTGTGCAAAGAAGTACAGATCCAGGTACATGAATTCAGGTTTCATGAGGGATGCATTTGAACGTCATCAGAATAGACCACTACAAAATATGCCACTTTGGCCTAAGAATTATTTTGAGCTGACGGCCGTTCAGAAACAGCTGATGCAGAGCGCCTGGGTGGCTCAGTTGGTTAAGTGTCCCAGTCTTGATTTTGGCTCAGGTCATGATCTCATGTTTGTCAGGTTGAGCCCTGAGTCGGGCTCTGCATTGGCAGCATGAAGCCTGCTTGGGAATCTCTCAATCTCAATCTCAATCTCTCTCTCTCCCTCTCTCTCTCTCAGTAAACAAACTTAAAATAAAAAAGGAAAGAAACAGCAGATGCCAGAAAAGCTCTCTATCCTTCCCCTCTCCCTATCTGCCTAAAATTAGGGCATCAATTTCCCTTTGTGAAGGTGTCCTCCTCCCCTCTCCCACACCAGGAAAAGGACAATAGACTTTTATTTTTTTATTTATTTATTTATTTTTAATTTTTTTTTTCAACGTTTATTTATTTTTGGGACAGAGAGAGACAGAGCATGAACGGGCGAGGGGCAGAGAGAGAGGGAGACACAGAATCGGAAACAGGCTCCAGGCTCTGAGCCATCAGCCCAGAGCCCGACGCGGGGCTCGAACTCAAGGACCGCGAGATCGTGACCTGGCTGAAGTCGGACGCCCAACCGACTGCGCCACCCAGGCGCCCCAGGACAATAGACTTTTAATCACTGGACACCGTAAGAGGCGTACAGCACCGAGATGGGTCTGCACAAACAAACCTGACTAAAGTAACCCTTGTTCGCCATTAGTTTCCCCCATATGTTTACCTTCTCACAACTTACCACTCCTAGAAACTCAAGCCCTTTTTTTCCTTTGTTTTATCCTTTCTTCACAAATTAATCGCCCTTTGGGGCATCTGGGTGGCTCCGTCGGTGAAGCATCCGACTTCCTCTCAGGTCTTGATGTCACTGTTTCTGAGTGCGAGCCCCGCGTCGGGCTCTGTGCTGACAGCTTGGAGCCTGGAGCCTGCTTCCGATTCTGTGTCTCCCTCTTTCTCTGCCCCGCCGCCCCCCCACTCTCTCTCTCTCAAAAATAAATAAAACATTTAAAAAACCCACAAACCCCCCCCCCCCCCCAATTAACTGCCCTTTGTTAAAATGATATACAAACTCACAGGTCTAACTGCTTTGAGGAATTTTCAATTCTTTTCTGCGAGCCCCGTCCCCCGTGTGCACCTGAAAAAAACATTTTCTGCTGTTAATCTGTCTTCGGTTAGTCTATCCACAGGCCCCAGTGACAGAACTTAATAGAGTACATGTTTAAAAGTTCAAAAATGAGACTACCTTGGTGATAGATAGTAAAACAATCACCTTTGCCAAGACTCTCGAGCTGTTAGGCTACAGAAGCCATAGGCGCTTAGGGCCACTGTTGTTGCTTTCTCTACTTGAGTTATCATTGCAAATAGTTCTCGGTACAAAAATGAAAGAACCATGAGTAATCACGTGACATCATAGTCGGTGGCTTCAAAAAACTTAAACTTCTCTTTTTTTTTAAGCACGTTTTTAAATGTTTTTTATTTATTTTTGAGACAGAGAGAGACAGAGCATGAGCAGGGTAGGGGCAGAGAGAGAGGGAGACACAGAATCTGAAACAGGCTCCAGGCTCCGAGCTGTCAGCATAGAGCCCGACGCGGGGCTCGAACTCACAGACTGTGAGATCGTGACCTGAGCTGAAGTCGGATGCTTAACCTGCTGAGCCACCCAGGCGCCCCAAAACTTCTCTTTACTTACAGTTTAAACCTTTTGGGAAAATGGTTGAATGTAGCATAAAGTGGAGCATTACTAAAGCTAAACATACCTAGATACTTCTTAGGGGCAACACTTTCAAATGTCCCACGAATAGTCTTGATGCTAGAATCCACCAGTTTGGTTTATGTGCAGAAAGCTCATTTATGGTCGAATAATCGATTTCTAACCCTAACCATCGTCTTGTAAATATATGATGTTGCTGTCAGTTTAGCGTAAATGTATTGCGACAAAAAACATCAAACGTGTGTATTCAATTGATCGTAGATCATCTTTCTATGGGAATTATAGCTTATCTTTAGTTAACAAGTGTCCATAGGAGAAATGTATGTTTTCTCTCTGTGTGTGTGTGTGTGTGTGTGTGTGTGTGTGTGTGTTAATGGATGTGCATACAGATGGTTGGAAAGGCAGAAAGAAAAAATTTGAAAGATAGAAAAAGACAACTATAAAATTACAAGGCTTAGATACGAAGTCATCAAAAGCACAGGTTTTTAACCATTTTATCGCCACATTATGAATGAGGTGACATTTTCACATGCCATCCCTACCCTGACTTATCTCTATAAAGGGACCCAGGAATATGCCCAATTCTGGCATTAGACATTAATGTACCCACTTAAGAAAATACAGGGGCAGGGGCACCTGGGTGGCTCAGTCAGTTAAGCATCTGACTCTGGTTTTGGCTCAGGTCATGATCGCACGGTTTTGTGAGTTTGAGCCCTGCCTTGGGCTCTGCATGGGCAGCACGGAGCCTGCTTGGGATTCTCTCTTTCTCCTGCTCTCTCTCTGTCCCTTCCCCCACCTGCACTGTCTCTGTCTCTCCCAAACTAAATAAATAAACTTAAAAAAAAAAAAAAGAAAGAGAAAAAGAAAACACAGGGGCAAAAAAGCAAAAAAAAAAAAAAAAAAAAAAGAGAAAGAAAGAAAAAAGAAAAAAGAAAATACAAGAGTGCCTAGCTGTATGTGACTCTTGAACTTGGGGTTTTGAATTAGAGCCCCATGTTGGATGTAGGGATTACTTTAAAAAATAAAATAAAATCATAAAGAAGAAGGAAAAGAAAACAGAGACAACTTCTATGGATAGCAATTTTGCTATAGTTACTGAAATACCAAACATACGTGTATTTTGACCTACCAGTGACACTTTTTTTTTTTTTTAAGTTTATTTTTGAGACAGAGAGAGACAGAGCATGAACGGGGCGGGGGAGGGGGGCAGAGAGAGGGAGACACAGAATCTGAAACAGGCTCCAGGCTCCGAGCTGTCAGCCCAGAGCCCGATGCGGGGCTCGAACTCACGGACCGTGAGATCATGATCTGAGCCGAAGTCGGACGCTTAACCGACCGAGCCACCCAGGCGCCCCTACCAGTGACACTTTAAGGAACTTCTTTTACAGTTATGATTGCATCTGTGTGCACTGATACACGTTTAAGGATATTGTGATTATACAATGGTACAAATAACAAAAATGTTCATCAGTATGTCTGTATTGTATAATAACAAAATGTCCATTCAATATCTCTACACAAGGGAATACTGTGCAATTGTTAAAAAAGAATATGGCAGCTCTACATATTCTCTTAGAGGATAATCGCTAAAGTCTATTCTTATGTCAAAAAGCTTGGAGGTGGGGCGCCTGGGTGGCTCAGTCAGTTAAGCGTCTGATCTCGGCTGGGGTCATGATCTCACGGTTTTTGGGTTCGAGCCCCGCGTCAGGCTCTGTGATGACAGCTAGGAGCCTGGAGTCTGCTTTGGATTTTGTGTCTCCTTCTCTCTCTGTCCCTCCCCCACTCATGCTCTGTCTCTGTCTCTCAAAAAAATAAATAAACGTTAAAAGAGAAAAAGCTTGGAGGCACTTACGTTTTCTTTCTTTTTCTTATATCCTACATCCGTTATGTCAGTAAATCTGGTTGGCTTTAGCTTCAAAAGATATTCAGGGGCACCTGGCTGGCTCAGTCAGTAGAGAAAATGACTGTTGACCTTGAAGTCATAAGTTGAAGCCCCACATTTGGGTGTAGAGCTTACTTTTAAAAAAGTACACACACACACACACACACACAAACACACACACATACTTTTTAATATCTATATCTTCAGTATCTGACCACTTCTCATCATTTCTACTGTTATCACTCTGGTCTATTGCAAATGCCTCCTAACGGATCTACCAGCTTCTATCCTTGTCTCTCATGCCTATTCTCTGAAAAAATTTTAAAATATTTATTTATTTTTGAAAGAGAGAGACAGAGTGTGAGCAGGGGAGGGCAGAGAGAGAGAGGGAGACACAGAATCCGAAGCAGGCTCCAGGCTGTCAGCACAGAGTCCCATGTGGGGGTTGAACTCACAAATCGTGGGATCATGACTTGAGCCGAAGTCGGATGCTTAACCAACTGAGCCACCCAAGCTCCCCTCTCATGCCTATTCTTAACACAAACAGCCAGGGTGATCCTGTTAAAAAGGTAAATCAGATCACATTACTCCTCTACTCAAATTCTCCCAATATTTCTCCGTCAGAGTAAAAGCCAGAGTCAGAGTCAGATCTCATAATCTTTATTCCATTCCTCCCTCCCTCCTCCTCCCTCCCCGGCGCTCTCACACTTCTTTATCCCTCGTCTCCCGTCTCCCGTTCCTCACCTCTGGTCTCCTTCTGGTCCACACACACTATGCTTGCTGTTCCTGTAGGGGAGGAAAGTGTTCTCTTTGACCCTCCTAGGGTCTTTGGCTGGGTCTGAAAGCCAAACTGACAAAGACAGAGTAACAAAGGAAAAGCATATAAATGTTCTGAATATAATTTTTTTTTAATTTTTTTTTCAACGTTTATTTATTTTGGGGACAGAGAGAGACAGAGCATGAACGGGGGAGGGGCAGAGAGAGAGGGAGACACAGAATCGGAAACAGGCTCCAGGCTCTGAGCCATCGGCCCAGAGCCCGACGCGGGGCTCGAACTCCCGGACCGCGAGATCGTGACCTGGCTGAAGTCGGACGCTTAACCGACTGTGCCACCCAGGCGCCCCAATTTTGATTATATATTATATATATATATTATAAATGTTCATATATATTATAAATGTCCTGATATAATTTTGACAAGGGAGCCTTCATAAGGAAACGAAGACCCAAAGGAATGGTTCCACCTGAGGATTTTTATGCCAGGTGGGATGACAAGCTGACGGTCGAGGAGAAATATGATATGTCTGAGAGTATGATGTAATTGTAGTAAACCGGAGGGAACTCAGTAAGTCCTGTTCAGATTCCTCACAGCATCCCTTTGTCTTTGGAGATAGGGGTGTTCCTTTCCTTCAGGTATAGAGACGGTGCCTCTGCCATGAGGCTTCTAAGACCTATTTCTAGGAAGAAGGCTCAGGAGAAGGTCAGAATGACATTCTTGTTTCTCTGGTTCTAACTCCTTCAGCTGAAAATAATCAATATGCCAAGGCGCCCTATTTTGGGGTAGTGCGCCCTGAACCCCATCCTTCTTCTAACACACTGGCGCATAATCCTTGTGCCTGGAGCCGATATACCCATGACTGCCTCTGTCACTCCCTCCGGATCCCTTCTTAATGGCCATCTTGTCTATGAGGTATTCCCTCACAACTCTCCTTACATTCTAAGCCCCGCCCCCTAATTTTCCCAACCCCTTTCCATGAAAAATGTTTTCTCCGTTGCCCTAGTCATCATATGACATTCTACAGATTGTGGATTTTCCTCATTTGTTGATCGCTCTTCTCCCCCACGACAATGCAAGTTCCACGAGGGTAAGAATTTTTGTCCATTTTGTCTACCAATGGATGTCCGTGACAGAAGCAAATGGCTGTGAGTGGCTGTCTCATAGTAGGCCCTCAAACTATTTTTGGTGCATACTGAATATATGGATGAATTAGATGTCAGTATGAACTAAAGAGAGCCGTCAAGGATAATTCTAAGGCGTGTTGCCCAGATAGGTGGGATCGCCATTTTCTCAGCTGGGGAAGGCTAAGCCAAGCAGATTTGCTGAAATTATTGGTCGTCTGTCACACACGCCTCTAGAATGCAGTCAGGAAGGAGACTCAGGGGCGCCTCGGTTGGCTAAGCATTTGACTTCGGCTCAGGTCATGATCTCAGAGTTCATGAATTCCAACCCCGCGTTGGGTTCTCTGCTGTCAGCGTAGAGCCTACTTCAGATCCCCTGTCCTCCTCTCTCTTTGCCTCTCCCTCGCTGGCGCTCTTTCTCTCAAAAATAAATAAAACTTAAAAAAAAAAAAAAAAAAAAGAAGGAAACTCAGGCAGAGTGCTCTGCCAGGGAGATCTATCTCCCCTGGTTCTGGTAACTCTAACAATTTCTTTACTCAGATTTATAGATGTCAAAAAAAATTACCCAAAAGTTAGAAATGTGTCCTTTCAGTGTGGGACTAGGTTTGCGCCTTTGATTGATTTCCTCTTGACTGGGCTACTTTACAACTCAAGAGGCACAGATTGACTCAAAGATGCAAATGCTCCCTGTCTGGGTGGTGGAAAAGATAATCCTTTTTTTTTTTTTTTAAGGTTTTATTTATTGAAGTAATCTCTATACCCAATATGGGGCTCGAACTCATGACCCCCAAGATCAAGAGTCACTCGCTCCACTGACTGAGCCAGCCAGGTGCTCCTAGAAAAGAGAATCAATCCTTAAGGTTACGGTTGGCGGTTCAGAAGGACGTCAACCAGTTTTGTATCCAACCCAGCAATCTTTTCTAGCATTCCTGTATTAAATTGACTGTAAACATCGAGCATCTCAGATGCACTTTGAGCTGATTTTAATGTCTCACTGGTTCTCTCGTTACTTAACAAGTTACATAAAACGTTTGACACGTGTTCATTTTATATTTGCATGAGAGTTATGATTCTACCTTTTTGAAAATTATCCTTTAGGGGCGCCTGGGTGGCTCAGTCGGTTAAGCGGCCGACTTCGGCTCAGGTCATGATCTCGCGGTCCGTGAGTTCGAGCCCCGCGTCAGGCTCTGTGCTGACAGCTCAGAGCCTGGAGCCTGTTTCAGATTCTTTGTCTCCCTCTCTCCGACCCTCCCCCATTCATGCTTTGTCTCTCTGTATCTCAAAAATAAATAAATAAAACGTTAAAAAAAATTAAAAAAAAAAAGAAAATTATCCTTTACTATCATTTTCACAGACCTGCAAAGCCACCACTCAAAATGATTCCTGGGCACTTTATTCACTGATTAGCCCAAGCAGGTGATACAATAGATTCTCTTGCTGTTAGCAGACAAAGAGGTAATGAAGTTGGCAGTTGGCTGGACTTAAAGGTCTACCGTTAGCCACCACATTGGACATACTGGTTAGTGGGTGTTAGTTCTCTACTGCTGCTGTAACAATTTACCACAACTTAGTGGTTTAAAGCAACACAAATTCATTACCTCCCAGTTCTATAGATCAAAGTGTGATATGCGTCTCACTGGGTGAAAACGGAGGTGTCATAGGGCTGTCTTTTCTAGTGGCTGTGGAAGAAGATCCATTGCCTTGTTTTTTCCCCAACTTCTAGAGGCTTCCTGCATTGCTCAGTTCACGGTCCTCCTTCCATCTTCAGAGCCAGCACCGGCAGGATGAGTCCTCTCTGTCTGTTCTGCCTGTCTCTTCTACCTCCCGCTTACGCGTTTAAAGACCCTTGTTATTTGGCTCATTCAGATAATACAGAACATTCAGATAATAGAGAATGATCTCCTTATTGTTAGGTCAACTGATTAGCAAGTGTAATTCCATCTGCAACTTTAATGTCCTTTTGCCATAGCATAACACATTCACAGGTGTCACGGACGAGGACATCTCTGGGATCATTATCTGCTTACCATTGGGAGAAGGGAGAAAACAATTTAGGGAAATAATACATACATCTCTCGTCTTTATTTTTTTGCTGAGACATGTCCCCAGTATCTTTGTGGATCAGAGCTGTATCCCTGGTTAACAAAGGCAAAGCGGGTCTTCCACCGTATGTATTTACAGTAGCAAATGCCAAGTATCTTCATGCAAACATTTATGTGTGTTAAGCATTTTATTTATTTATAACATACATGTATTTTAATTTAAATCTTAGTTAACATACAGTGCAATAATGGTTTCAGGAGTAGAATTCAGTGATTCATCACTTATATACGACATGCTAAGCATTTTATTTATTTATTTATTTATTTAACGTTTATTCATTTTTGAGAGACAGAGAGAGACAGAGCATGAGCAGAGAAGGGGCAGAGAGAGGAAGACAGAATCTGAAACAGGCTCCAGGCTCTGAGCTGTCAGCACAGAGCCCGACGCGGGGCTCGAACTCACAAACCTTGAGATCCTCACCTGAGGTGAAGTCGGACGCTGAACCCACTGAGCCACCCAGGCGCCCCACGCTAAGTGTTTTAAATAGATCTTTTGCACTTCTTTATTTTTGTGTAAAAGATGTGATGAAGTCAGACAGACCTGAATTTAAGTTCCATATACATATACATATATATACTTTTTTTTAACATTTATTTATTTTTTGAGAGACAGAGACAGAGCCTGAGCAGAGGAGGTGCAGAGAGAGGGAGACACAGAATTGGAAGCAGGCTCCAGGCTCTGAGCCGTCAGCCCAGAGCCCGCCGACGCGGGGCTTGAACCCACGAACTGTGAGATCGTGACCTGAGCTGAAGTTGGTCGCTTAACCAACTGAGCCACCCAGGCGCCCCTGAATTTAAATTCTAACTCTATTACCTACCATCTTCATGAACATTGAGCAATTTTCCTCACCTTCCTGAGCATTAATTTCCTCACCTGTCAGTTAAAGATTAATAGGAGGTAGCAAAAAAAGGTTTTTGAGAGGGTTGGACAAAGCCATGAACAGAGGCTCTAGAGTATATTTTATTTTATTTTATTTTATTTTATTTTATTTTATTTTATTTTATTTCTTTTTTTTAATCCCCTGCCCCTTCTAAGTATATTTTAAATCACTTTTTCCTTTTAGACTTCTTCCCAGGGGGATTAGCTCTCTTGGCCTAGGGTACATAGCCCCAAAAGGAAATAAATCTAGTGCTTATTGTCAACATGGATTTGTACCCAAATCCTAGAAAAGTAGACCAAAAGGCACACTGGAGGCCCCAAAGGAAGTAATTTTTTTTAAGTAATCTCTACACCCAACTTGGGGCTCTAACTCACAACCCTGAGATCAAGAGTCACAAGCTCTTCTGACTGAGCAGCCAGGCAGCCCCCCAAGGAGGTAAATCTTGTACATAGGGAAGGGAATACTGTTTTCATATAAAATGGTAGTAATAAAGGGGATCAGAATATGCCACCACAAAATATACCACATTGGCATAAAGATTATTTGGAGCTGAAGGCAATTGAGAATTAACAGATGCCCTACAAGTTTTCCGCCTAAGATCTCTTCTGCACCCAAATTTATCATTCCCGAAAGCCCAAACCCTCTTTCATTTATTTATTACAAAATTTTTTTTTAATGTTTATTTATTTTTGAGAGAGGGAGAGACAAGAGCGTGAGCTGGGGAGGGGCAGAGAGAGAGGGAGACAGAGGATCCAAAGCGTGCTCTGTGCTAACAGCAGAGAGCCCGACGCGGGGCTCAAACCCATGAACCAACCGGGAGATCATGACCTGAGCTGAAGTCAGATAAGTTCTTAACCGACTGAGCCACCCAGGCACCCCTCTTTCATTTAAGAAGGGTATAGAAACTCCTGAGTCTAACAGCTCCTTTGAGTTTTACTTCTTTTCTGTGAACTCTCATACAAATAAAT